ACAAATGAGCAGGCGCCTGAGACACGCGACACAAATGAGCAGGCGCCTGAGACACGCGACACAAATGAGCAGGCGCCTGAGACACGCGACACAAAACAAATGAGCAGCCTCTGAACTCGGTAGTCGCATTTCTCATGCACAGTCACATTTATCCTGTACCATGCAACGTTCTTCCAACACTTTATGTTCTATATTCTCTGCCTAGTCACACTTCAAATATTTGAACTCATTAAGAAATTGAAGCAACATTCGGAATAAAGTCACAAAGAAATCATTCTGAATAAGATCAATAAGACAATCTGAAAATCTACAGCATGAACTTTAAAATAGCAAAGGCCATATTGTAAATGAACAAACTTAAAAGCCATAAGCAGAAAACTTGAAATTTGGGGTGTGACGATACTTCATCAGTAACTGACTGATCTACACCGAAGGACGACAGTTGAAAAAAAAAAACCGTGAGAATAGCAAACTGGTAACTACAAACGTGCGTCATGATCCTATACTTGGTCAGTTCAGTTAGTGCACAACAGTAAATACTGCATAACAAATGTCAACAGTCTACGAGCGTCCTCGGCATTGTTCAAGCATGCCAACTCGTGCGTCGTCACACTACACATGGGCAAGTCCTCATATCAACGACGTCGCCCATACCAAACAGAGAATAGTCGGAATATCCTGGCATGGGTGCAGTACAAGACACAGCGGGACATGAAGATCTGAAGCCAAGATCTCGGATAATGTCAAGGCTTGAGCAGCGGTGAGCCACTCAGTCAACCAGGAGCTACTCAGTCAACAAGGAGCTACTCAGTCAACCAGGAACCAGAACCATCACAGCCTGCCATTAATTAGGTAAACTCCATGACTCTGGCACTCTGCCTTTGACACTACAAGAGACTCTGGCCAGGCGGCTACTATAGAGGCGCAGTCTACAGGTGTAACAGTCTGCCACTAGAAGTTTGATAGTGCCACAGTCTCTCATGCTCCACAGTCGTTGGGTCACAATTTTGTAGTGCAACACAGTCTGCCAGTACGTGGCAGAGTCTGCCAGTACGACAGTCTGCTAGTGGCAGAGTCTGCCAGTACGACAGTCTGCTAGTGGCAGAGTCTGCCAGTACGACAGTCTGCTAGTGGCAGAGTCTGCCAGTACGACAGTCTGCTAGTGGCAGAGTCTGCCAGTACGACAGTCTGCTAGTGGCAGAGTCTGCCAGTACGACAGTCTGCTAGTGGCAGAGTCTGCCAGTACGACAGTCTGCTAGTGGCAGAGTCTGCCAGTACGACAGTCTGCTAGTGGCAGAGTCNAGAGCAGAAAGTTGCAGCTCAAGAGCAGAAAGTTGCAGCTCAAGAGCAGCAAGTTGCAGCTCAAGAGCAGCAAGTTGCATGCAGAAAGTTGCAGCTCAAGTTAAAAACAGCACTTGAACAAGTCGATTTACATATCATATGATTTGCCTCTGTTCACAAATCTGCACCTGAGCAGAGCAGAAGCTCAGATGATTGCTCAAAGATCGAAAGGCTGAAGTCGACAGTGCAAAACAAGATAAGAAAAAAACGAACAAATTAGTACATTAACTGAAATGAAAAAAATCGTTATTTCAAGGAACGATTTTAGACAGATAATCAAGGGTTACATCACGCTTGGGTCGCGGCCAACGCCAAAGAAGCTGCAAAAAATCTATCAAATTTTCGGTCAAGTAGTCCTTTGTGTGAGATACTTCGTAGAAAATCAGGGGTAAATGTCACCGAGATATAAATGCAATCATCTTTACGTTTCTTATTGAATTTCAATTTCAATTCATAAATACATCGCAGATATAGCTAGCTAGATTGAGCCGATTGGGAATTCTTGGTTATTTAACCCTTGCCGCGCTTTTGATCCATCGCAGTGAGATCAGAGCAATTGTTTGACATGCCCTCCGTATTTACTAGTATGAAGCAGGAATCTACCATGACGAAATTAATTAAGAATTAGCTCGCAGATTGTCACACTAAAGTTAGTGCGTGACTTGGCTACATGGAGGGTGCACATCGGTGCCACAGTATGCGTGACTTGGCTACATGGAGGGCGCACATCGGCGCCGTAGTATGCGTGACTTGGCTACTTGGAGGGCGCACATCGGCGCCACAGTATGCGTGACTTGGCTACATGGAGGGCGCACATCGGCGCCGTAGTATGTGTGACTTGGCTACTTGGAGGGCGCACATTGGCGCCGTAGTATGCGTGACTTGGCTACATGGAGGGTGCACATCGGTGCCACAGTATGCGTGACTTGGCTACTTGGAGGGCGCACATTGACGTCGTAGTATGCGTGACTTGGCTACTTGGAGGGCGCACATTGGCGCTGTAGTAACGCAAGAACGTCTCAGCAACATATAGCACAGAAATATCCATAAGCCAATGATCACAGTAGTGAGCGGGAGGCACACAAATTTAGAAGGCAGAACAAATTAATCATCAGATAAATGCACTGTGTTAGAACTCGGTCTGAGGGGACGTCTCTACCAATTTTGTTATAAAATATAATTCCTTTTTATTTTTCCTTTACTTAACTGATGTCACGCGAGGTAAATGAATAATTATAGGTTAACATTAGTCTGTATAGTCTCATGCACACGTTTGAATCTACAATATGTGCCTGTACACGCACTTTCGTAGCTTTAATGACCATAATAGTGAAGCATTGGCGTCGTAGTATAATGGTCATTATAGTGAAGCATTGGCGTCGTAGTGTAATGGTCATTATAGTGAAGCAGTGGCGTCGTAGTGTAATGGTCATTATAGTGAAGCATTGGCGTCGTAGTATAATGGTCATTATAGTGAAGCAGTGGCGTCGTAGTGTAATGGTCATTATAGTGAAGCAGTGGCGTCGTAGTATAATGGTCATTATAGTGAAGCAGTGGCGTCGTAGTGTAATGGTCATTATAGTGAAGCATTGGCGTCGTAGTGTAATGACCATAATAGTGAAGCATTTGCGTCGTAAAGAGCGACGTAAACTAGCGGCACGAGACTTGCGACGTTCAGGTCTCGGGGAACACATCCACTCAACAACAACATAAACAGAGACAGTCACTTCAAGGATTTTAACAACTACCATTACTTAGTTAATTCATTCCGTTCAAATGCAGAAATTTCCGAGCATGCTTCATAAAGTTGGTAGAAATAAACTTAGTAACGTATTTATTCCGAGCGCACAATGCACTTCATCATAAACATAATAATAAATAAATGTATCGTTACGTTAATCCTTAGAGACGTGACGGTTTCTCGAGTTCCCAGACCTTCAGGTGCGACTGGCATTAACAACGATCGATGTATGAACGGACGAAGAGTTGACCATTTGTACACTGCCAGTAAGTTTCCAGGAAGGAATAGCATTGCCAACACTACCTTTGTATAGTATACTGATGTAGTATGCTATACTAATATTGATGTATCAGTATAGTATAGAAATGGCCACTGATAGTAAGTTGCCAGGTAGGAATAACATTGTCAACACCACATCAGTATACAAATGGCAGGTCACACACAGACACGCACTCACCGGACGTGTAGTCGAGCGTGAAATGACGCGCGTGGTCGCCCGCCACGACGGAGTAGACGAGGGCGGCGCGCGCGGGGCTCTCGGCGCTGAGACGCAACACGGCAGCGCCCACGGCGGCGTCCTCAGGCACGGTCGTGTGGTACACGGGCTCGCTGAACACGGGGCCTGTCGTCGCCACGACGCTGCACACGGTAACAACGGGGGAACAGGTCAGGCACGGTCGTGTGGTATATGGAGGCACGGGCTGTGAGGCACTCACCGGACACTGATGGAGGCACGGGCTGTGAGACACTCACCGGACACTGATGGAGGCACGGGCTGTGAGGGGAGGGGTGCCGCCATCAAGGGCCAGCACGTCAAGTGTGACGAGGTCGTCGAGCAGCGCCGCTGGCTGCGTCAGGGACACGTGGCCAGTGTCCGCGGCGATGGCGAAGTGTCCTGAGGTGTCGGGCAGCTCATAACGAACACTTCCGAACACTCCAGAGTCAGCGTCTACCGCCCGCACCTGAACATGCAGAGTATCTTCAGTTATCGCTGCACCAACACTGATCACGACAAATTATGTATTCTTAACATTAAATAACTCTTTGGTCGAAATGCGTACAGGTCTATAGTACACGTTTGGTCATCTTCACGTACAGGTCTATAGTGCACGTTTGGTCATCTTCACGTACAGGTCTATAGTACACGTTTGGTCATCTTCACGTACAGGTCTATAGTGCACGTTTGGTCATCTTCACGTACAGGTCTATAGTACACGTTTGGTCATCTTCACGTACAGGTCTGTAGTGCATGTTTGGTCATCTCCACGTACACTTCACGGCTGGTATCTTAAGGGCTCTCTAACTTGGGGGTAGAGTGTACAAAAGTTCTACGCTCGCGTCCAGCAGCCGGAGTATATTATTGATGCATACTACGATAAGTAGATGTAACATAAAGCCCAATTTAAACAAATATCGACAGATGTCATCATGCCAATGGTTAACATGAGCCCAGGTACGTGACTGCTTGACGCTTCACAGTTCACCTGGAAGAGAGGATGTCCGGCAGCAGCAGCCGTGGGCAGCAGCGCTATGTACGGCTGCCCTACGAAGACAGGGGCGTTGTCGTTCGTGTCCAGTACGGCGACCGTTACTTCACCGTTGCCGCTACGGCCGCTGCCCGTCTCACGGGCCTGTGAACGAACGACCGTCAATTGGTCTCTTATTTATTCGCCACCACACAGGCAGTGTCATCGAAAGTAAATATAACTTTTTTAGAAGTCAAAATCTGTGAATAAAGTCATCTTGTATAAACATTGGAACAGGCATTGGTGAAATCTTTTTCTGTACCAGTAAGCTATAAGAATCGATTCGTCTGCTTCCACATGAAGTTTATTAAGCGAAGTAAAGTGTCGGTCCCTTAAATTTATTTCATGTTCCATTCTTCCTTGTCGGACTGCAGTGCCCCTGACCCTGCAGTCCTACACAACAGACCTGAACGATGAGGGTGAAATGCTCCATCTCCTCTCGGTCGAACGGCGTCCCTGTAGTCTGGACAACTCCTGCAGTAGGCGATACTTTCAAATATTTGTTCGGGTTGAGAACGGAATAAAGAATGTGATCTCCGGGACTGACATTTTCTACTTCAACCACAAGCAAATTAATGGTCTTCGTCGAGTTCTCTGACACGTGAGCGAAGTAGCGTTCTTGCGTGAACCTCAAGGAGTTCTGCAAAGACTCTAGCACGGAGATGGTCAGTTCTGCGGTCGTGTCGTGGAGACCGTCTGACACGGTCACGGTGAGGTGGTGGTCGCCCCTAGGCATCTTCACGGAGTTCACAAAGATGCAGCCGTTCTCACTGTCCACGTCATAATACAACTCCTCACTGGCAACATCGTCGCGACGTTTCAAGGAGTATGACAAAGCAGTGCGTGTCCCCATAGTGATCTCTGAACGCGTAATGCTGGAGTTGTGGCCGCGGGTGTCGTCAGGGTCTGTAGCCTGAAGGCACGTCACCCGCACACCAGGCACGGTCGGTAGCCGTACCACAGCGCGGCGCTCACTCGTCCTAAACTCAGGTGGGTAAAGGTTCTCTTTCTCGACCACAATAGCAACGCTGGCAGGCGTGAGGGCCTCGAGCGAGGGGCTGCCGCTGTCTGACGCCCACACGCTGAACTGCAGCAGCCGACCAGCGAGCTGCGACAAGTCACCGGCAACTCGTACAGCTCCTGGAGCAAACAATGATCAATTTATCAATCGGTGAAAATATCCACTATTAAATCACAATAAAACTATATCAAATACTTTAAAAACCTACAATATTATCAATAATCATCCGTTTATTCTATACAAAGGCTATAATAATTATTAAGAGGACATTACCTTTACACTCGCGAGTCCCTGCCCTCACCTGTGTATTCATCGACGCTGAAGAAGCGGGCGGCCTTATTGTGCTGCGCCAGCGTGTACTTGACTCGCCCGTTAGCGCCCACATCGGAGTCAGCGGCGCTCAGCACAAGCGGCGAAAAGTTGCGCAGATTTCGGATGGGTAAAACAGCAGGCGGAATCTCAAGACCGCGGCGAGTGTTGGTCACATGTGAAGGAAAGTTACTTGAAGATGGATCATAATTAGGAGCCCGAGCTGACCGCCCCAGGTCCGCAGGTTGTGTTGCATGATCTGACCCACGCGAGAGTGTGAAGGGAGCGTCTAGTCTCTCCTCCGCTGTTTGGTTGTAATCAGCGAAGTCGAAGACAAGCTCGCCAGGCTTGGCGCTCTCGAGCACAGCGCCGAGGTAGCGCAAGCTCTGCCATTGCGGCCGCTGGTCGTTCTCGTCCACCACTGAGATGACGACCCATGTGTCCCGCGACACCCCCAGCTGCACGAACAAATTAAAACTGATGATCAACACCGATGTAATATTGTTCATAGTGTCACTATATATGCGCTAGATACAGCATTCCATCAAATATTATCGGGATTGCAGACTACATTGTTTAAGGCCTCTTGTACTGAGGGCATCGGGAGAGAATTATTCACTAATCATCGATCATCATCGACCAACAATGCGCAATGAAAGGCAACAGAAGAAAAAGAATATATAATATAATTCTGGCGACATAAATTTTACGGAGACGTTGAGGTCTGGACGATAATAAAAAGTCGCGCGAGACGACACTACTGACCTGATTGGTGGCGGTGATGGTGAGGTTGTAGTGAGGCTGCGTTTCTCGGTCAAGTGGTGCCGCTAGCATCACCACTCCTGACGCAGGGGTGATGAAGAACGAAGCGTTATCGCGATCATCACCATCAGTGATGGAATAACGAAGTGCCGCCCTTGGTGATGACGCCGCCACCATGGCAACGGCCGTCCCCCGCGGCGCCCACTCACTCACGTGGACGGTCTTCATGGCGCTGTTGGTGCCGCCTTCGCCGTCCAGGAGATCGGAGGACCAGGCCGGAGGATCGTTGAGGGCGGGCGTAGCGGTCACCAGCACCTGCAGGGAAGCGGACCGCGGCTCAGGGGCGCCGTCCGAAGCCCTCACCAGCAGCTCGTAGGCGCGACCCTCCTGCAGCGGCTGGGCGACCCTCAGCAACCCGGTGGCCTCGTCTATTGTGAACGTCCCCTCGTCGTTACCTGCCGGACAATGATGGTGACTTGTGATAGTGTGATGCACACAATGGGGTGATACAATGATAGTGACGCGTGAGGCTGGGGTGTGTTGTGTTAGGCACACATAATCTCACACTAGACAACCAATACAACACACGACTATGAAATAAAGAAAACATTATATCAAAAGAATAAAAACGTTCTAAGTCACAATAAAGACATTAGAGCCATTATGATCGTAAAGAAGACAGAGAACAATCACAAAACACACAGAGTTCATATATATAAAAAACACACGGAGTGCATATATATCACAAAACACACAGAGTTTACATATAGTTATATATCACTGTAACACCGCACCTGCAGCGATGGTGTAGGCATTAGAGCCATAGTGGTATTACATACAGTGTTTATATAGAGTTAGAGAACACTAGATGGGCGTACCTGCAGCGATGGTGTAGGCGAGTCTGCCGTTGTCGCCGGTGTCGCTGTCAACGGCGACGACGCGCGTCACGCGCGCCCCGACGCTCGTGTCAGCCGCCACCTGCGAGCGTCAGGCTCAGTGTAATAGCTTCAATATTCTCCAAGTCAGCTTTCTTCACTCCATAGGGTACATATCACTCCCTTCCATATATCACTCCATATGGTACATATGGAGTGATACCCCATATGGTACATATATATCACTCCATATGGTACCACTCCATATGGTACATATCACTCCATAGGGTACATATCACTCCCTTATCACTCCCCTTTCACTCCCTTCCCTTTATCACTCCATATCACTCCCTTTATTACACAACAGCATTTATCCAGTACCAATAAGGTACACAGCAGAAAAAGACGTTCGTCGAGGATGGGAGCTTAGAGTCAACAATCCTATCTAGCTATAATATTCTATTTCTCGTCAACTTCAGTCCGCAATCTAGTAAAGTCGGGATAACCGCTATTTTGTCATAACAAATTCCTTACACTGAGTCAGGAGAAATGCGGTCGCTGATAATCATGCAGTTTATGATAATATTTTCTCAGATAATTAGTCAATCTAATCTGAGAGTTGAATCTTCAAAAGACCTTCATGAAATGCGCCGACACTTCCAGGCACGCGTAAAGAAGCCATTGACATGATATATAGTAACTCGAGACCAGCAAATTAATAAAAAGACACTAATTTAAGCATTAGATTTAAAAAATTATCATTTATTTGAAAAGAAATATATAATAAAATAGAAGAATGATCTGAGCAAAACATTTTTATGCTTAACTTTACAGCGCGTGAGGCTGATCTGGACACTGAGGCTGACCTGGATACTGAGGCTGACCTGGACACTGAGGCTGACCTGGACACTGAGGAGGCTGACCTGGACACTGAGGCTGACATGGACACTGAGGCAGACCTGGACACTGAGGCTGACCTGGACACTGAGGCTGGCCTCAGCAAACACCGGCCAGTGGTCGTTGGCGTCACTCAGAGAAATATGGACACGCGCGAAGTCAGCGTTGGCGCGGGCGCCGCGGTCCCGACAGCTCACGGTCAGCAGGTGGCTGCCTGACACCTCCCTGCACACGCTTCGTCGTCAGCAAACTAGCTTATCTAGAACATCATCCTTATTATCTTATCTTATCTATCTTATTTAGTACATCATCCTTATTATCTTACCTTATCTATCTTATCGAGTGCATTCCTTATTATCTTATCCATATCTTATCCATTTTCTATCTTGTTTAGTACATCATCCTTACTATTTATAATCTTATTTAGTGCATCATCCTCCTTATCTCCAATCTTATTTAGTACATCATCACTATCATCACCCATCATACTTTCTGCTAATTTCAGAATGGGTGAACCTCGTCGCGTTAGAATATTAATCTTTTGGTTTCCAGTTAGAGCTTTTACATTCGAAAAATTGTGATATCAGTAGGACACGACCTGCCTAAATACGAGTAGTTAGAGGAACTATCAAGTTATCAAGTTGATTCATTCAATTAAATAGACTATCGCTAAGCGTATGACTCGGGAACATTGTAGGAGTGTTACTATTTCCATTAATACGAGTAGCGCTGAAGACAAATAAAGTGCGAACATTTAGTCACCACACACTCCAATGTGAGTTACAAAAAAACACCGATTAAAATTTTTATAACATTACTAGGTCCCCTGACTTGCTCTCCAATCATTCAAACCTTATCACTAAGACATGCCGACGAAATGCAGGCTTCCCTCACCGATCCAGCGGCTGGGCCACTGACACAACCCCAGAGGCGCTGTCGACGCTGAAGAGCTCAGCGGAGTTGAGGGCCTCGCCGTGCTCCAGCGAGAAGAACAGCGGCGTTACGGCCCCCGCTGAGTCAGAGACGAAGCCATCAGTGCTGGAGGTGTTGCGCTGTGGGCTGGTGGTGGGGACGGGAGCCATGTGGTCCTTGTCCCGACACAGCAGCGTGACGATGGACGTGCCGGGGGCGGCGTCCTCCGGCACCGTCACGTCGTAGAGCGGCGCGCTGAACACGGGCGCGTGGTCGTTGGCGTCCAGCACGGACACCGGCAGCTGAGGGGCAAACGCGCGATTGTGTTGATATCTAGCACAGGACGCGGGGCAGAGGCAACGTGCAGCCATTACAGTTACAAATATGAGAAACCGAACTAATCGGCGTGTGCCAAACATAACTGGTCATATTAGTATAATTCGTATGCTTATCAGTACAGCGCTAGACGCATCTGTACTATTATCAATTAAAATACACATGCCATGGCTGAAAGTACCTGCACGGCGGTCGAGTGTTGTCCATCAGTGACTGAGAGCTCAAGATTGAAGTGATGCCGGACCTCGCGGTCCAACGGTCGCGCGACGGTCACCAGGCCGTTGTCTATACCCACGCTGAAGTGACCGGCGCTGTCGCCGTCTGCGGATACAATCGCGGTCACTCAACACGAGTAGGGACAGAAAAACAACCAAACTTCTACAACACTAACTGGAAGCGAGGTGTATCTCAGTGAGGGCGTTTACAGAAATACCGACTTCCACTACCAGAAGACGTTACTAGCGACCCCTTAATGACACGAACTTCATGATCGTATATTACAAACACTTTCATTATCTCGGTAAATATTATCATTGCAATCTTGATCAGAATCAGTAGACTGGCGACGACACGGTCGAGTGTCGTTGGAAATAAGGCCACTAGAGCAGCAATGTCTGCACGCTGCACAGCACATGAACTGTGCTCAAGCTTGGCGTTATGGCTCATGTCTGCATGTCTTGGCGTTATGTCCGTGCATGGCTCATGTCTGCGAAGGCAAGCCTACAATATCCAACTAATTCTTAAAGCCTTGACCTAATCGCTGAAAGGGAAAAGCGTTTCTCCGTTGAGGGAGAAAGCAGAAACTTATGGGAAATTTGGAGCTGCGGACGCACCGGTGATGGAGTACCAGAGGCTGTTGCCGTCATCGCGCGGGGACGCTGAGATGAAGGCCACCAAGTGGCCCGGGGGGTCGGTCTCCATGACGTGGGCGGGCGTGGGCGCCTGGACGATGGGAGGGCCGGAGCTCGTGGACGGCGGGGGCGCCACGCGCACCAGCACACGCGCTGTCGCCCACAGGGGCGGCCGTCCACCGTCGCGAGCCTCAACCTGCAGCAGCGAGGTCACACGTCACGGCCACGCGTGCATGCGCGTCACGGCCACGCGTGCGACGAAGCACGAACATTAAAGGGTCTCAGCCGCACAGCGGCTCGTGCCACACATCTTAGATGGATCCACAAGCATTCCGTGTAAATAAGTGATGTGTCTTTCTTGAGTGTACTTTAAATCTGTAAGTTATTCCTCCTCTTAGGAGGCAAGCAAGCTTCATGCTTCACACCGCACATACATTCTTCCAGCCTTGCTTCTATCTTTGCTATCAATACACAAATTGGCAATAAAAAAGTGAAAGGAAATGTTTGTCAAGGCCCAACACTAAATTAACAGCTTCGCTTTGAATTCGAACTCAATACTACGTCGGATCAGCAGTAAAATGCAACTGAAATTGTACGATGATTTTTAAAATTAGACACTCATACAATTAATTGACATCGTGTATTTTGTAGGTTGAGGAGAAACTTAGCATTCGTGAAGATGAAGGCACTATACGTTCTGCTTTACGTTAGTGATGAAATAATTAGGGAGGCTAGAGCTGTTCACGAGGCTGATGGCATCTAGTGTTCATGAGGCTGATGGCATCTAGTGTTCATGAGGCTGATGGCAAGCACAATGTACAGACAAGGAGCAACATGAGCAGCACAATGTACAGACGATGACCAGCACAAGCAGCACAATGTACAGACGATGACAGCACGAGCAGCACAATGTACAGACAAGGACCAGCACGAGCAGCACAATGTACAGACGAGGACCGGCATGTTCAACACAAGACAACATGAGTAACACAAGGCAACATGAGTACAACACAAGCAGCACAATGTACAGACGAGGACCGGTAACACAAGACAACATGAGTAACACAAGACAACATGAGTACAGCATGTGCAACACAAGACAACATGAGTAACACAAGACAACATGAGTACAACATGAAGAGCACAATGTACAGACGAGGACCGGTAACACAAGACAACATCAGTGTAACACAAGCAGCACACTGTACTGACGATGATAGCACGAGCAGCACAATGTACAGACAAGGACCAGCACGAGCAGCACAATGTACAGACAAGGACAGCATGTTCAGCATAATGTACAGGGAGGCACATTGTACTGACGATGAAGTCGTGCGTGTGGCCGGGCAGGAGGGCGGCGCGGTTGAGCAAGGCGCCGGTCTTGGGGTTGATCTTGAAGACGCTCTTGGCCTTGCCGCGCAGGCTGTACGTCAGGTCCGCGTTGCCGTCCGCGTCCAGGTCCTTTGCGTAAACCTGCAGCAAGAACCTGCCTTGTAAACCTGCAGCAAGAACCTGCCTTGCAAACCTGCGGCAAGAACCTGTCTTGTAAACCTGCAGCAAGAACCTGCCTTGTAAACCTGCAGTAAGAACCTGTCTTGCAAACCTGCAGCAAGAACCTATCTTGTGAACCTGCAGTAAGAACCTGCCTTGTAAACCTGCAGTAAGAACCTGCCTTGTAAACCTGCAGCAAGAACCAGTCTTGTAAACCTGCAGTAAGAACCTGCCTTGTAAACCTGCAGCAAGAACCTGTCTTGTAAACCTGCGGCAAGAACCTGCCTTGTGAACCTGCAGTAAGAACCTGTCTTGTGAACCTGCGGGAAGAACCTGTCATGTGAACCTGCAGGAAGAAACTGTCCTGTAACAAGTACACCTGTAACAGGTACTTATTCGTCAGATTCATTACGGTCTCAATACTCAGACTAATGTCCAACTTAATGAAATAATATATGCTTAAATGTTGAATAAATTAAGTTCTATTTTTAATAACATCGTAATATTTATTATTATTTTAATAAATGAAATTCAGAATGGTCGTCAGATTAACGACGGCCTTAGATGCAGAGGTGCCCGACGGCAATGTTCAAACTTGAAACATATGTCGGCTGTCTGTATGCCATACCATAGGGATAGAACGTACACCCTTTTGGTTCTCCACGCTTGCCTTTAGACTCGTGCTTGACTAGTTAATATAGAAAGGCACAGCAAAAATTTTTAGTCAGGTCTCAGCCCTGAATTCTGTTGCATATTGTTATCTGATAAAATCGGTAGGATTATATCGATTTTATCGATATACAACATGCTCAGAGGTGTCACTTTCAACCTTATTATAATTAATAACTATCGATAATTAACTTTTATAAACCACTTGAAACGAAGAATCGGGAGTGCTGATAGCAGAGCTAGTGAGTTACCTACTGTCATTTTACGGGTAGTTGCGGATAGGACACTGCCTGACTTTGTTACTTAGTCAGTCACAGAGCTGATAGACAGCTTGTTGCTGCTAATAGTGTACATGTTAGCCCAATTGAATGGGATGAACGTCAGGACCGTTACTATAGTTCGAGCTACACGTCACGAGTCGTCAAAGGCATTGCACTCGCTAAGAGCGGCGATTCGCCGACAACCATACAAGTGAGAAGACTCAGTGTTTGGTACGAATAATAAAAATCATAGGAAAATGTTTCCAGGAAGTAGAAGGTCAACTGCCTGTAATGAAAACATAGACAAATTTAATGGATTTCTGCGGTTGAGATAAAGTCTTGGGTTTCCATGTATTTGCTCGAGACTGCGAACAAATACATGAAGTTTACAGTTCAGTTATGTAGTTTAAAAAGCTTGGACTGGAGTGCGTGCAAAGTAGTAGTGCGTCGATTAGATGATGATTGAATGATTGATTATTAAAGTGTTACAGCCGGTAATATAGTCGCTTTAAATACGCATATCAAACAGAAGTTTCATCGTTGCATTAAAATAGCTACTAATATTCGAGCGATGTGATACGAAAAATAGGATGGGGAAAAATATTCAACTTTTTTCATATATTATATTATTTTCGTCTCTTTTATTTTTGTATTTCATGAATATTCTCGTTAGTAGGTAAGATAAATTTTGGATTTCAAATTAAGAATGAAGATACCGAGTAAGACACTAGAATTCCTTCTCACTCACTGCAGTCTCTACGGTCAGATTTTTGACGCAACTCATGCTAAGATTTGTAACAAGTTTCATTGTGGAAAAAAGTGGACCATGACACTGACAGTTATGATTGGGGTTCATGGTAAAAATTATTACTGTCATGGTCATAACGCTTATTTATGATCATGGTCTCAGTTGGACAAGACTAATTGTTCTTCTAATGTAGTATGGTACATATTTATTGTAGGCGAAAAACTTCTGATTGAATTGTTTCTCAAGGTATTATTAAATTCGTTCAAAAATATGAATGAGTAGGTTGGTCATAGTGGAATTAGTCAGTACCTAACATTTCTTAACGATAGAATTCGATTCTAAAAGCTTTTAATTTATATTTCGCCAGCAATTTGAATGATCGCGTGGAAATAAAATAGAGAACGTCTACGACAACGATAAACATTTCCTTGAGTTTCTAATATCAAGAAACGCCAAAGAAACCAAAATTGATCCAAAAGAATGATCAAAAATTTAGAACCGTTGCTGGCAGCGCGGGTTGGACAGCAAGAACAAAGGAAGACATACGGTGCGCCGCTCTGCCCGTTTGCTCAGCGGTTCGCAAACAACGCAAGCCACTCAGCGGGTCATTGGGCACGCACTGCTGAGGCTCGCATGTCGCAGTCACATCAAGAGCCCGAGCCTCATTACGCTCAGTGTGGCTTCTTCCGCTGCAATTAAGCGTGAGGCAAGAGCCTAGGCTAACGGCCGCAGTAAATTGTGATGAAAAGTAAGGGCGAGAAGGAGACGCCGAGACAAACGGTAAACAATGAACTAGAAACTGGAGGCTGAGTCACATCTGCAAGCGAGAATCACTTCCTTGGAATTGACTGGTCACTAAACACTGCAAGAGACCGTCGAAAAATACTGCAGCGTTAACAAAACAGAGACACCTATAGCAACTTTTTATCTCAAGCAGCGCCTAACATAACAGCGAGAACCGAAGATGATATCGATGTAGGTGACCATGTAGATAAACGGCGGTTCACGGTTGAAATTAATTGATAGTTAGATTGTGAATATTCCTGAAATTGGCGTGAATCTTATCTTAATTGGTTTATTGATTATCCCGCTTTGGCTGCCTCGCCTAGACCAGCAGCAACAGACTATACATCAAACAGGCTTGGGCGCACTCGACATCCCGGACCTAGCGCCACAACCACGGACGCCCGGTGAGCTGCCTTACAAACTTACCTCCGGATTTTCTGTCACATTTACTGCTGCTGGCATATAGAAATCATTATTATTTGAATTTGGAAAATTTTTAAATAAAAATAAAATAAAAAACGTCGACAATAGACGAGCACTACAGACCCTGAGCAGCGGCAAGCGTCGTCGCCCGGCGGGCCGTGCGGGGACCGTGACGCGGTACAGCGACTCCAGGAACTGCGGGGCGTTGTCGTTGACGTCGCTCACAGTAACGTAGACGGGCGTCACCGTCCACAGGCTGCCGTCACTCACGATCACCTGCACCTCGTACTGTGACTGCAGCTCTCGGTCCAGAGGCCCTGCGGTGCTCAGCACGCCTATAGGGAACACGCGCACATTATTGTCGTGTTTTCCGCACCTCTGCGTGTAAAATTTTGTTTGAAGCCATAAATAACCTAATTTAGAAAGCTACGAAGTCACTTCTGTGTACAAATCAAATTAGCCCAGTTCCTCTCACAAGCTTTGTCATGACCCAAACTTCTCACATTTCATCGGTATTTTGGTCGCACTATAAAAGATCTACAATAGTTATTCAGCCAACACTGCATATAAATAAACATTTTGATATGAAATGGAAAATTCCTCATTGGCTTGTTAGGATAAGATACAATTGGCAAGGCCAGGCCGGTAAGAACGCTCGTACCCGTGGTCCTGTTAACGACGAAGAGCTCGTCGCCCTGCGTGTCAGGCCCCCAGCCCGCCTCGCCCAGAGTCGCCGCCAGTGCCTCGGTGTTGCGGCGACCACGCACGCTGCGCACGAAGAAGCTCAGCGCCCCCGTCCCGTTACCCGCCTGCACGCATACAAACCACATCGGCTGTGTGTCGTCCGCTTGGGTCTTAGTTCTATGGTGTTTCACATGAAATTATAGGATATTATAAGAAGTAATATGAGCCACAGCGCCATTATAATTGTTGATCACTTGATGGCCACTAAACCAATACTACGCTGATATGATATGGCGCTCATACTACACACACACTTCACCGACACTTCACCAATGCCACACCGACGCCACACCCATATCGCACCGTACCACACCGACACTTCACCAATGCCACATCAATAGCGTAGCGACACTTTTCCCATGAAACACCCATATTACACCGACGATTCACCGAAGAAACACCCATATCACACTTTACCACACCGACACTTCACCGATGAAACATCAATAGTGTAGCGACACTTTACAGATGATACCACACCGACAATTGACCGATAGCAAACGGACACTTCACCGATACCACACCGTACCACCCCGATGCTCCACCAATACCCCACCGTTAATACGCTCATACAGCATTGTTATCACTACACCAACACCTCACCCGATGCTGCATCGGTACACTCACCAGTGCAGGACACCACTCACCGCGGTGACCCGCCACTCACCGCGGTGACCCGCCACTCACCGCGGTGACCCGCCACT